CTAGTATACTTCAGCATATAGAGATGATCGATCCCACATTTCAGCCGACAACCACCCTACCACTAGATCCGACGATATTCGGAACTCAAAGCACGAATACAGCCACAATCAGCAATCACATCCACTAAATGCCTATGGTGAAGAATTTCACAAACACTAAACTCCTACACGGAGTTGGGGATACGCAGGACCCAAATTCCTAATCCATTTTATATACTTTGAAACCAATATTTGAAAGTATCAAATAATAGCATTATAGGAAGATAGTATCTTTACGCACTTGTTTTAATTTGAAGTTAATGCACGATCCAACTTCTGCAACAAATAAAGCAGCTTCAATTTGACGTATCAAATTATAAACGCAGGTTATGAGTTAATAATTCTAGTATTTTGGTAAGTACTTGAGCATATTACTTGAAAACATTAAATCAAACTGTTTAAAGAATAAGTATCATTGTCCTTTTTTGTTTTATTGATGTCGATGCAATCAAACACGAATAAACTTCAATTACACCGTAGAATTGATTAAATGTATTTATTTTTACGTGTTTTGCTTGTGCTTGCTAGAATAATGGGACCGGAGCGAACTTCGCACGGAGAATACCAAAATCTCATTCACCACAGGGAAATGTGCCACGACGATTCTGTTTTTCTCTTCTTACTAAGCGGTGCGATTCACAGTCTGGATTATCCTGGCAATAATACCGGTGTTGCCTAACACGATTAGACTTCCTATCAGTATGCCCACAGTATTGGCATATAAACAGTGTATTAGAGACGACGTCTGGAATCCATTCTTCATCGTTAAAATACAGGTAGCAGTGAAGCCAATAATTCGATAACGTGTGGCCAACTCCGCTGCAAAATAGGTCTCCACGAAATACAACTGCGTACCCGCGAGGTATGTCGAGGTAAATTTCTTTCTGAGGCTTTGCCTACTCAAAACACCCTTCAAATACACGAATTGTGGTACCTTCTTCCAAAGCAATAATTTCGCTAGCAGGAACAGCTTCCCGGAATTTAGACGCGACACGAGTTCTCACCTCTGATGTATAAGCCTGATGATGCTCTTGGTCTGCACCACCGGGACGGGAGTGCATATAAGAAAACACACAGGCATAGTGGCGTACTGCTGCATCCTCTTGAATGGCTTGCTCAGTGATCCGCAACGTAGAACTCATCCGAACAACGCGATATTGACTCCGAAATGGGTCGTCACTTTCACCGCTAACTTCACGAAATGCAGGTGTGTAGGAGCACGATTTCGCCTCAGCTAGTAAGGCATCTATAGT